TATTAATTAGTCAGGCATCGAGATTTATTCGAGAAAGCGGATTTGGAAAATGAGTTTAAATATTGTTCATATAATAGCATATTACTAAATGGCGGCTTACATTTGCTCATTGTATTTTACAGGAAGAACTGCAGGCAATAGAAAACCATTCGCATATGTAGAATGTTCAATAATTGAATCAGAAATTTTATTCCATGCTAAAGATTCCAAAGCCTTTTAACATTAAATATAAAAGCTATATAATAGAATTCTTTGCTAATAGCAATAGCACTCTGCTTTATAGCAAATATTTCCTTCATTTAACATATGCTTTATAGCAAATGTCAAATAGCAAAGCTATTTGACATGAGCACTCTGCTTTGATGAATTTATTAGGCCGTTTCAGTCACTTGAGAAAGTTTTGTCTAAATTTTAGTTGAGATTAAATCAAGTACTCATTAGTCGAACTTTTCTTGCGTTCAATTTTCATTGACCCAACACACTTCTTCGCTTTGGCAATTACCTTCACGGCCACACTTTCTTTCCCGTTTATTTCTCTTTCTCTCTTTGTCGTAAGTCGGTTTTCTTGCCTCTCATTCATTGAGCATCGTCTCGTGTAATCCACAAGCGTTTTATACCTCTCACTCATCTTCCACGTGAAAATTATTTATCTGTACATTATTCCACGCTCTGTTGGAACTTGTGTTGGAACATTATTTCCGACTTGTGTACTTCAATGAATGTTTTTCATGCCAGCAGACAACTGCACGCGGACTCTGATGCTCTGCATATCTTTGTATATACCGAAGTGATTAGAACATTGCTTGCTAAATTTATTTACATGTCTTCAAAACTTATAGTTATAACAGCTACTTATTTATTCCAAGTTTATTCCAAGTCTAATATAAGCTTGTGTTTAGGGTCGAGCTCCGGAAAATGGAGTGTAATGCCATGGAATCTTTTCTTTAAATTCTTTTAGTTCTTGATGAGATGGCATTAAGCATTAAAGTGATCACTGTTGTGTGTGCCTTCAGCGAGTTTTGCCCTCGCCGATCTGAGTGATCTTTGATCCGCTATTGTGCGTTCGTGCTAATCTTAGAGAAACATTTCGCATGACTTGCAGCCTTCAATCGGGAATAATTTCTGCGAGACATACATTTAACCGTTTAACCTCCGATAAATTATGCCTTTTTTAGACAAGAACTTCATTCTTTTATCATGAAAAATTTATCATCTTGTGTGCTTTTAAGCTGTAAAATAAGCTCGCTCGTACACGCGATCTTGCATGAGCAGTCGCCGGGTTGTTGAAGGGTATTAGAAATTCTAATTATTAAGGGTATTAGAATGGTGTTTGGTATTTAGGGTAGAAATTCTAAATTCTAAAATTGCACTCCGTGCAATTTTCAGAAGATTTCTCGACTATGCCACATGTTACTTGATGTCTTGGGATATTTCCTGACTATTGTAGATCATGTGCTGATGGATGCTGCGAGCAATTGACATAAAAACTGACACTTCTTGTCTACTTTTCGGCATTAATTAGTTAAGAAAATGTCCACTAAAATACAGGTAAATTCATTTATTTTTTTGGGAGGTTACCTTGAAACAGAAACTCAGCTGCTTGGTAACCATGCAGTCCGCACGCAAGTTTAAGCGCCGGTCACCCCAACCTAACAACAATGTTCTTACTTTGAGTTTGAGGTGCAGTTCGAAACCCTGCATATGCCAGTCAATACGACGAACTTGTAACAAAGTCGTGAGTTACAGCTTAAGGAAAAATACAGCTGAGGGAAAAAGAATTTTAATTGTAGTGCAGAGATGCCATGAACTTATAGGGTTCTGTTCTTTCGATGCTCACCTCGCTTGAACTCGCGTAGCTCCAAAACTTAATCAGAAGAGATCGGTTCGATCGCGTAACCGTGTCCAGTCATTGCGTCTAATTCCCTGCTTTGATATGCCTTGAAAACCTCCACGTGTTGCTGTTCCATCGAGCTAATCGATTAGCTTTTGTTCTCTGCCTCCTTCAGAAGAGAGGCTAATTTTACGCTTAGAGCTTCTCAACAAAAATAATACATCCATTACACTTGCATCAAACTAATCTGCCTTCCTCCTACTTTTTGAGATCCTTTTTTTCTCGAGATGCCGAGAAAAATCACGCTGGGCGATTTCAGACATTGTTTTTGTTGAAAGATTTACAGCGCTGTGCTTTTGTTACTTGCCGACATAATTACCATTTTTGGGAGCCCCGAACACTCCGACGTATCGGACTCGAGGGTTTGTGTGACCATCGTTAAAAACGTTGTTAGTTGATCGATGGTTAGCCACAATCAGGCAATGATCGACTGGACACTGGTAATTTGTCTATATTACAACACTTCTCTTTAACTTCACTTCTTGTTTGTTTGTCTGTCTGTCTGTCTGTCTGTCTGTCTGTCTGTCTGTCTGCTACAAATCTTATCGATATTTAACACACTTCTATCTGTCCAATCGATCTGAAATTTGGCACACTTGCATAAAGTTGAAGACAATGCATGAATCAATTGACAGAATAAATAATTTTATAAATTAAAAAAATTTTTTTTGATTATTAAAAAAAATTAAAAAATAATTTCGTCTGCTACAAATCTTATAATCCATATATGACACAATTTGACTTGTCCAATTGATCTGAAATTTTGCACAATTGCATAAATTCAGAGAACAATGCATGAATCAATTGAAAGAATAAATAATTTTGAAAAATAATTTTTTTTCCAATATTTGAAAATAGAATTAGAAATACATTGTACATGTGTAACATCCAAGACACTGGATTGTTCTGAAGTGTTGTCTTTAAAAAGTAATTTTTAAACGCATATTATTTTTGTACTGACAACGAAGCTTGGAATTAGATTCTGTTTTACAGTAAGCTTACAACTCAAGCTTTATGACCCATGCGAAGCCCCTTACACACATTTTCTACATAATACATCCAACCAAATATATATCTCTACTAAATTGGATGAATTGTTTAAATCTTTTCAGCCTGTTGTTGCGTATAGTGAGAACTTGTGCTTCAAATTTAAAATGTCATCTTTTCCTTTCTGTTTATTAGTTTTTTCTTGAAATCAGAAATTTATTAACATTGATAATTAGAAACAAAATTTTTGTTTTTTGTAGGTTTTCGTGGATATTTTCGTCTTTTACAATTCATTTCTAACGGATATTTCACGTCCTCATTACCGGACATCTACTCTTTTCTTTACCAAAAATTCGTGTGAAATTTTGAGTTTCTCCCACTTTTTTCTAGCTGACATACCAAGAAATCAATCCCTTGATCCACTATAAGTATTTTTGATCCCGACGAGACGTACGTGACAGGCGAAATAAGCGACACACGCGAGCTACAAACTCTGGCCGGCATGAGGCAGTCTGCCCTGCAATTGTGTGTGCCGATGGTCCGTAATTCAGGGTCTGGTCAGGTTGCGCTGCTCCGTCCGTCCATATTCCTTGTAGACGCTTCGGTTCCCGATGTGTGTAGCACCGTACCTGTGGATAGCTTGTATTTGCTGTCCGCTTTAATCATTAATACAGGACTGGGAATCCAAATCAAGAATTTTTATTTTTTAGTGCAGGAAGTTTGACACCAGTCAATAATTGAAGTATTTTTTAATTTATAACTAAATTTTTTAACTTACAATTTGACAGGCAGAATATTTAATGATTATTTTATATTATTAATTATTATGTGATTATCAGTCAAGATTAATGTTGATGATACATTGCAAGATGAGCTCGTTAATACGTAATGTATTCCAATATCATTAGCTACTATAGTCGATATTTTTCATAGCTTACTTGTGTATGACGGACGCGGAGTGAAAGTTGCATTGAAAATACACTATTGGGATTCATTAGAGCCGTCAGTTTCCGTGAACTGTAAACCACCCACACGCAGCTTCGTCATCCGTACATCATTCCGGGACCAGGAAACGCTCGTGTGATCAGGCTTCCGCAAGTTGCATAAATTCGTAAATTCGTGTCTCGAGTGCGTGCGATAGGAAGAGAAATTCCGATGCTGCAGTCGGTGCGTGTATGCATGAGAACTGATTACTCAGACTTCCAACCAACGTCATTTTATTGCTGCTGGTTACGAAATGTGTTACATGTGCAGTTGTCACTGGTGCCGGCACGTCATGCGTTCACAACGGCGATATCGTCCTAAAACTCTTCCTATTTGAACTCCAACTTTGTTCATTTCTATTCTCCAATATTGTCGCTTTCCATCCAAACTGTTTTTGCGTACCAGTTTAGATGCGTGTTGCCATTGAACTTATGCACAATTATGTCCTGACATAGCATTATTTATTTTACTTGTGCTCTTGTAATGATTTATTTGTGATTATTGAAACCTAGTATGCTGATCTAGTTGATGCAGAAGAATTGTCGCGTATTGTTTTTCTAGAGGACACACATGACATACAAATAGTGCGTTTATGGTTTAGTTATGCAATACCGTTCGGAATAAAACGTGTACCGTGAAGAAATGAAATTTTATTAACTTGATTTTTACCATAAAAAATTGCAGGTAAGCATGCATGCAAATATATCCACGAGACGAGCAGGGCAGTCGAAAGATCTTGTATCCTTCATGCAGTAGAGATCTGAAGGTCAGCCCGTCAGCAAACATTTCTAAGTCGCTAAGTGTTCTCCGAAGATCATAAGTAATAATATCCTCCCGTGCGCTGTGGTCCCGTCAGTAGAGATCTGAAGGTCAACTCGTCAGCAAACATTTCTAAGTCGCTAAGTGTTCTCAGAGGATCATAAGTTTAATATCCTCCCGTGCTCTGTGGTCCGTCAGTGGAGATCTGAAGGTCAGCCCGTCAGCAAATATTTCTAAGTGGCTAAGTGTTCTCAGAAGATCATAAGTAATAATATCCTGCTGTGCGCTGTGCCATGGTCCCGCCAGTAGAGATCTGAAGGTCAGCCCGTCAGCAAACATTTCTAAGTCGCTAAGTGTTCTCCGAAGATCATAAGTAATAATGTCCTCCCGTGCGCTGTGGTCCGTCAGTAGAGATCTGAAGGTCAGCTCGTCAGCAAACATTTCTAAGTCGCTAAGTGTTCTCAGAAGATCATAAGTAATAATATCCTCCCGTGCGCTGTGGTCCCGTCAGTGGAGATCTGAATGCTGCTGGCCCCTCACTCGGCACGACTCGCCCCAGGCGCATGATTGATCTTGCGCCTCTTCCGTACGTAGGCCCCGCGCACACCGCCTGCATGGATGGCCTCATGTCTTTGCTAGCAAATCCTTCTTAACCCTCAACCGCCGTATATGTCACTCTCCGGAACATAACTTTCAACTTAACCCTCTACCGCCGTATGCGTCACTCTCCGGGAACATAACTTTCAACTTAACCCTCTACCGCCGTACATGTCACTCTTCGGGAACATAACTTTCAACTTAACCCTCTACCGCCGTATACGTCACTCTCCGGGAACATAACTTTCAACTTAACCCTCTATACCGCCGTATATGTCACAATCCGGGAACATAACTTTCAACTTAACCCTCTACCGCCGTATGAGTTGTCGTACGTGGCGGCAACCATCAGTGCAAGTCATTTTGCGCTCAGTAGAACGTATTCTTTTTGGGAAGTAGGCTTGTGACAATATTGCTCCGGTTACTCATGTCAGGCGGTAGAGGGTTAAACTTATTTCCCGGGCTGAGGAATGGGATTAATCTCATGTTTCACGATAACCCGTTTTAACTCGTCGATTGAATATGGTTTTAACTTTAGTTGAATGATTGAAATTGTGAAATATTATTAGTTCGACGATTTATGGTGTACAATTTAAGCTGTCGAAGGTGCTGCTTTCAGCATGGCCTCGGCTTGGTTTCCTAAATGAACTATGGGTACCTTAATTCCTAGGGAGATTTAATGAGAAATTATAGGATGTATTTAAAATATAGAAGATGAATTCTCATGATTTGGTTTGTTTAAATTTAAAAATAAGAAAGAGCAGTTTTCTTAACGATAATACCTTTATGTTTATTTCATTATTTTTCATTTCAATTCTATTAGTTAAATTGTTTAGTTCCTAACCCAGTGATAATTACTTATAAGCATAAGGCAGACTACTATTGTATTAAATAAGAAGAATCAGGCTTAGTTTCACCCTCGGTGTCATCGAAATCAGCGCGATGCGGCTCTCAGTACCTCATTTCTCTCTTTTGCTTCATGTCCTTAATTCAGCTTAGTATTGCGGATTAATAATTAATAGAGCACAATAATTATTACTGTTACAACGACCGTGAACGGGGGAAATTGTGTCGTGAAAATATACTGTCTTAGATAATGGTTCTTTATCACTGTTATAATTAGTGTTGTTAATCATCTAATTAGCTTGAGGATATCGACTGATGGTTTTTTTTTTCTTTGCAGCGATGGCAGAGGAGGTGGTTCGTGCTCTACGACGACGGTGAACTCACCTACTCTGTTGATGACCTGGTCAGTGATTGTGTTTGTTAAAATTCAATAGATTTTAAAACAAAACTTAGCTTTCAGTTATGCATGTTGTTAATAATCAGCTATGCTGTACTCATTATACGATTAATCTTACTGCTGAGTGTTGGCGTAATTTTCACTCTTTTAATTACATTAGATATTCCTTAAATGCATACGGTTGTTTTTGTGGAATTGATAAAAAATTATTTCTTTATCCTTGAACAATTATTAAAAAATGACCAATGCTACTTGGTCAAAAATTTTTTTAAGCAGTGCTCACTGGTATTGCAGCAGTGGAAGAAATGAATGTGTCATAAAATTTTTACTAGAGTCGAAACGCTTTATTCTCACATGAGATCACTAATTGTCGGTCTTTGTTCATATTCTTCTTATTCAATAATCTATGGATTCCTGATGCTCGTCTCATTCGCCTCTAATTGCAAACGAAATTTTTCTCATTTGCAAATTTTAACCCTTCATTTTAAAAATCTATGTAATTACCAGCGTTAAACATGAAGATATTTGTGCAGTTGCATACAATACCGATCTTGACATGAGCAATCCAAAGCTCGTGTTGGCCGCGGCGCTTCTGCTGCTCAAGTAGTTTGGCTACGTCATGGCAAGACGGTCTATAATTTGCCTGTCAGAAGCCTGCATGGGTCGGACACCTAACTCTATGCAACAGCCGCTGCTTTTGTCCTTATCCTCGCCGATCTGCGGCGTACGATGGATGTTTTTCTGATGCTTTCCAGCATAGCGATGTACTCTTGTCTCGTCTATCTCTGGCGAATAAGCGCTCATGGAAATTTCTAGGTACCTTACGTAAGACACCAAACTTCTTTTGCAATAACAAATAATCAGAAAAAATAATGCGGTGACTTTCATCTACGGGCAAATATTATTGTAGTGAAATTAATAAGGAAAAATGTATTCAAAACTATAAATACTATTGGATCATGTTTGAATACGATGCATTTTGGGAATTTAAAATTGACGTCGTCGATCGAGAATGCCGCTGATCTGTAAGCACCATGTTTCATTGCTATCCTCCAGAAAATAGACGGTGAAAATATCACTAAATTTTCGCGCTTTATATTGCTGGTGGCCACGGGCATAAAGCATTGCACGTAGTCTTTTCTACGAATCCCTGAAAATTTTTAAAATTTACGCAGTAGAACTACTCTGTTTCAGCTACAGTACACGAAGAAAATTTTAGTCTCTTGAACCTTGGTCCACTGACGCTCTTCTCACCAGGCATTTAGGTAAGAACAGCTCGTGTTCATGCTTCCATGCATAGACCAAGAATTGAACTGTCTTCTAAGGGTTGCGCTTGTAATAGACTTTAAACACGAATTGCACTGTCGAGGGTTAATGTAACACTCAAAATAATGACAAAATTAGAGTTTCAGTACACCTGCATGAACACTACTTTGATTCGACTTAAGAACGAAGACTACATGCATGCCATCTATCATCAGTCCTTCGAATAAGACCATCAATCATACTATTGATAAAATGACTCGTGCTGAATTTCACATCTGATGCGTCGTTTTGCCGCTGCTCCATAGCCCAAACAAGAATTTTGTACAGAATTTCACTATAGGAAAGTTAAGGCATTCCATATAATTTTCTATCTCAATTCACGGGTAACCTTTCTTATCTACTTGAATCCTTTGTAAATTGTCTGTTCGCAATGATTTTATTTTTAATTAATCAGGCGTACCTGAAGCTCGCACGCCTAATTGTTTGCGAGTTGCTCATATTACGTATCAGACTTGCTATTATACATGAACAATCGGGGAACAGTAATCCTAATTTACAGCATTTTGGTTGCATTCTAAAACCACCATTACCACCCGAACATTTTCCTCTCAGCATCTATGTGCTGTCAGCTCAAGGTTTATTTCACCATCTACGAGACAAGCAATGTTTTGTCTTCTCTGCCATGAACAAATGGCACGATTCAGTTTAGATGCACGAGTAATATGACCTGAAGAATTCGATCTCCGTCAAGCAGCGGGATGTCTAACTTTCTCGTAGACGGGCTTGACATTTCTTGAACACGCCTAGGATTTTTAATAAAGAGGCAGGCAGGAATAATTGATGAAGCTATCATTAGTGTTAGAAGTGGCACAGAATGAAGAAGTTGGCTTGATCTTTGCACAAAGATATGACGTATTACGCAGCCGACACCTTGTAGTACTCAGAGAAATGAGTTAAACATTGTCCAACTTGTGATGTACTTTTGCCAACGTATGTGTCATCCTCACCTAGTTTGGCTGGCCGAAGGACATATCAGTGCAACCTCCGTTCTCTGCTTGCGCCTTAGGGGTAAAATGTATCACTATTTGGACAATATGACCCATTAATTTTTTGAAGTGAGTGACGCTTTCTTAATTGAATTCTTGTTGATTCGTTTTGGAGGATTGAGGCAATGTGTACATAATGCAAGTATTCCATGAATGATCCGACTGCACCCATGCAGGTATTATCTATAGCTACTGTGAACACCTAAGCATGCATGCCAACTATCGTTTTTTACCTGGTTAAATTATTCACTGGTACTATGACGAAGCTTTTGGTACGATGACACTTCTGTTCGCTCTACGCTCCGTGTATTAACTAAGTATTGGATGCAGTGCATTTTTTGACTACCTGCATTGCACGCTAGCTGTGCTCTTTGTTATATATTTTTAGCTCTGCCGTCGCCCACGCTCCGCCAGTTCAAGCCTGATTATATTAACTCGACGTCTGCAATTTCGCTGATCTCTAAAATTATTCTCGTGCAAGGCTGCCCTGCTTTGCCATTTGAAAAGCCACTGCCCTACCGCAGTCACCGTACGGAGAACTGACTGTTGGACTTACCGTGATTGCCGTGCGCTCGAGGGCTTCTTAAGCCTGCAATGTGGACTGGTAAGCGATAATTAAAGAAAATTAGGCAATAGGTACTTTTGTATGTTACGCGTGCTGCGCATGATTAGGGTACTTTCGTAAATACTGACTTCGCTATTATTCCCATGTGATTTTTTAAATAACTTTGATATTAACGCATACAAGAGATACCTCCATAAAATCAAGTAATAGTTTATACTATCATGCGCACAAACCGTCTCCTGCGATACAGGTGGTGCGCATGGTTCTAATACTTTCTTAAAATAGTGATTCAAATTTTAAGTAACAATCAAGTTATCAATTAGTAACCTAATTGTGTAACGGAGCATAATTAGGATCGTGTATAGAGATGGGCGTTGAATAGCCTCATTACCAATGGGTTTTGTTTAGCGGTGGGTCCATTCAAGATTTCTCATTGTCGGCCTGGAGGGGACACATATGCGATTTGCCTAATGACAGTAATCCTGTTTTTAAACCCCTGTTATTAACTGCAGTTTGTAGTTTTTATATCCTTGCTGCTACTTAGTATACTCTTACAAATTGTCTCCTACGTTTTTATTCTCTACCAACCCTTTCACTTATATTTTGTCTCGGTGTTGCTTCTGCCAAATTGGCTCTCATTCCAAGTATCCTGCTGTAGCTCTCGCTATTGAATGGTTGACGTCGCAGTCTTGCTTCTGCTACTGCAAGAGCTGTGACCAAATTGAGTTGTGATATGAATTAATTTATTGAAATAAACTCTTCTAAGTGTTTTTCGCTTCTTGCTATCTAGCATTCGACTCGTATCACTACTTTATTTTCTTTCTGTTAACTCCACTTAACTCAACTTTAGCGTTCAAGGTACTCATCTTGTCTGTAAACATTAGTCTCAGCTGCCTGCTATTTTTACAAGACAGTAATTCCTGTTATTTCTTTATTTCTACTAATTTATTCATTTGCTTTTAAGCTACTATTCTACTGATAACTTTCCAGCTCTTTTTGCTCATACTGCTGATGTTGCTCTTATGACTGCATTTGCTTTCACAGCTGCTTTTGCTCCTTGTATTTCTGTATCTCTCATAACTGTTGTTACCTCTTTGCATTGCTGTTGCTCCGTCCGTTTTTTGTTGCCCCTTTGCATTGCTGTTGCTCCGTCCGTTTCTTGTTGCCCTTTGCATTGCTGTTGCTCCGTCCGTTTCTTGTTGCCCCTTGCATTGCTGTTGCTCCGTCCGTTTCTTGTTGCCCCTTGCATTGCTGTTGCTCTTACTGCTGTTGCTCCATCCGTTTCTTGTTGCCCTTTGCATTGCTGTTGCTCCGTCCGTTTCTTGTTGCCCCTTGCATTGCTGTTGCTCCGTCCATTTCTTGTTGCCCTTTGCATTGCTGTTGCTCTCACTGCTGTTGCTCCGTCCATTTCTTGTTGCCCTTTGCATTGCTGTTGCTCATACTACTGTTGCTCCGTCCGTTTCTTGTTGCCTTTTTTTCATTGCTGTTGCTCATACTACTGTTGCTCCGTCCGTTTCTTGTTGCCCTTTGCATTGCTGTTGCTCTTACTACTGTTGCTCCGTCCGCTTCTTGTTGCCCCTTTGCATTGCTGTTGCTCTTACTACTGTTGCTCCGAACGTTTCCTGTTGCCCCTTTGCATTGCTGTTGCTTCGTCCGTGTCTTGGCTTGCTCCGCGGGCCGCCGCTGCTGTCGAGGCATAAACGGTACTGACCGACGCAGGTCAAAGACCCACCTCCGCTTGAGGCCTCAGCCTCTCGGCCTAAGAGCCTCTCGTTGTAACTGACAACCGCGGCCTGCTAGCTGATGCCCCTGCTCGGCGCTGTCCCCTATACTGCAACATCGTCGCTCCCGCTTGTAGCGTCGACTAAACACTTATGCACTGGTGCTGGAGTATCAAAAATAGTTAAGAATTCATAACTCCGGTAGCCAATGGCAATTAACGATGGCATTTCAAGCTAAATCAACCAATCACAGACGAGAAAACGGCCGCTACGTGCCCTTAAGCTGCAACGTGTACTTAAAATAGTTATAAATGCCCGGCCGTGGATTTCCTCAAGTCACTTATGATTTGCAATTTAATTACGTAATGGTGTTGTGGTAGACGATAAGAAAATCGTAATGGTGTGGTG